GCCCAAATTTCCACTTTCCACAATTCCACAACAATCTTAAGTTTTGAAAGACTTTTGTTACAGGTTAGTAGCACTCAGTGCAAGAAGTTCTCGCCAGAATCTTTAAGATGGCTGAACAAGAGTTGCTAGTGAGGAGTGCCAACGATATCACGGAGACGTGGGTGCTGAATCTTCTTCAGTACCACCACCACCATAACCTCTCTGGTAATCCTCTAGTGTGCTAATTTTTTTCTCATTAGTGTTTAAATTTGTGAAATGCTTGTGTATTATTAATCATGTTAAGATTTGTTTGGATTTTTTTACTGAAGTGTTGGCCACCCAAGATAACGCAAATATCAGTGCTAAGAACTTTTATTTCCATTGTTGTCCTTCCGAAATTTTCCCCCAGGATGCAACCCACAAGTCTATTAACACCCAGAGACAAACCGGTGCAAGGAATTGTGCCCAGTTTCAATCTACCCGGGGCATTAATGCCGTTAATTAAGCCACGACTAACCCGTCCCTAAATCGCGAGACTGGTACATTAACTCAGTGCTGTAATCTGCTTGCTCGTGAAAAATTTTTAAGTTTTCTTTGGTTCCTTGCTAGGCATTATAACATTAAAAATTTCTTGGCCATGAATCGGCTTTTTCTTCATGTACTTTAAACTACAACGTTCTGGTAAAACTAGTGTAAGCCGGCAAATTCATATGCATCAATCTCATTAGGGTAATAGATTTTCTCCTCCATAAGACCTAGGGAAGATAATCCCTATATTCCCAGTCCAAGTTGAAGCTGGTGAGTTTGCATAAGACTGGTGGAATAGAAGAGGCGAGCTAGCGTGGAGATCACATTATAGTAACAATTTGAGGAAACTGAAGAACCCAGGTTGCAGTGTCTTTACCTTGTAGGTAAATCCCCAATTAAATGTTAAAAATACACACGCACGCACACAAACCATAAAATTCTCAAACTTCATAGTTTAAAAAAAAATATACACCAGACTTAATCAGTCCCAACAGGCTCTCCAGTAAATATGAAAATCACTACAGCAAAAAGATTAGTTTTTGGAATTTAAAATTTGCCAGTCGATAAAAAACATAGGAGCACCTTCAAGAATATTACTGTCAGTGAGGCGTGTGACAATTATTCTGTGTAAAAAGATTTTAAATTTTTTCATATAAAGATAACCCGCCAAACACGTCCTGTCGATTTATACATAAATTATTGCCCGTATGTAGGACCCAGTGCCTGCCAAGATGTCAAAAGGCAAAAGTTGGCTGTATAATCTACAAAATGTCAGATTTCTCGGCATCTGACTGATGGCCATGTCCTGGTGAAACACCTTCGTATAGTTGTGCTGCGCATCAATATAGGTTAACTACATCTTCCCAACCAGTCTTGGAGGAAGTGTATCGAGCCAAGGACAACAGAGCTCTTTAATACAGAGCTGATAAACCGGAATTATCAGAATACAAAATCCAATCACCACTGTTAATTTCGCCCAGTTCATTAGAGCCCGAAAATTAGGGACCCCCCAGTCACTGTACAAGACGTATGTGCACTTGTAAAGGAAAACCTTATCTCCCTGATGAAATACAGGCCAAATTGCAAAAGTGAATGATGTCCAGACATTAAACTTCATGTGTTGGGCAGACAGATCCCTTTTTTTCCTATGAAAACCGTAGCAAGGGCGAGGTTATGTGCAGACCTTGGCTCCTGGCAAGACCCAGATAAAGCTCGCCAGATTATGCTTTCATATACATGTAGGTATATGTAGGTCCGGCAGGCCGGACTTTAGTCCTGGAGATAGGAAGTACAGTGCCTGCACTCTGAAGGAGGGGTGTTAATGTTGCAGTTTAAAAACTGTAGTGTAAAGCACCCTTCTGGCAAGACAGTGATGGAGTGAATGATGGTGAAAGTTTTTCTTTTTCGGGCCACCCTGCCTTGGTGGGAATCGGCCAGTGTGATAATAATAAAAATAATACATGTAGGTTTAGTTTTCCTTCTGCAACGCTGCACTGGGTCAGGCTTGTATGATGCTTGCCTGGTCACTCGGGCTGTTCCTGCTGGCAGCCCACTGGTCTACATAATCGCATCATTCCAGATCTGGAAGTAGGCGGGGGTGTTTGTTGAAATCAAATTTTCACTTCCTCCAGCAGTTTATCTTTGGGTAAGATGCCAAAAAATTTGATTAGATTTTTATACTGTTCCCACAATACTCCTGAACTGCGTGTAATTTAACTTTTCTCCCCTTTCACTCAATGTTATGGTTGTCTAAATTTGACTTTCACAATTATATTATGGTTTTCATTAAATTGCATACATCTCACGCGAGTCGTTCCCAATAACTATAATTCTTATTGACTCTGCGGGTCATAAATAATTCCCTCTGCTCGAGTTTTAATATTTCTCCTGCCCTTAGAACAGTCAACACTTAACATTATTCTTACGAAAAGAGGGCACAAGATTTTTCATGCACATTTGATATCTACAGATTGACGTTGAAAATATTCTTTAATGAGGCTGAGGAACAGGATAGGCACCAGAACTGTACCCTGGAGTTTTAAGCTTTAAGTTTGATAATTTTAGATTTTTTAGTATCGCTCTGTATATTGTCTGGCGAAGCAGAGTACTAGTTACCTACTTTCTCCACTATACATATTCATTTTATGTGCAATAAATTTAATGATCTTCATTAAATGCCTTGCTCGTGACTCGACATATCGATTTTTCTTCCAACACCTCCGTATTCTTTACACAATGGATTAGTGGTTGTGACCATTTTCTTCCCTCTCGTTCGAGTTTTACAGCTCATGCCTCCATGGAGAAAGAAAAGGCACATCCCCGTGTATCATGGATTGAGCAAATCTCCACTATCATGATCCGAGCTGTGGCTGCAGAGTCTACCAGTTAAAAATTTATATGGGGACCAAACAAATCCATGAAGACTTGTTAAATTGTACTGCTACAGTTAACTTAATTTTTGTGGGGAAAAGCCTCAACCTGGAGTATAGACATTACAAAACTTGTGCTAATGAAGTTAGGAAGCGATAAGATAAATTAAACAGGGTGGGGGGAAGAACGTACCTCGGGTTCATCTGATTTGTATTTAAAGTTAAATAACGTAGGATTAAATTTGTTAAAGTTAGTGATTCATGATTTGAGTATTTATCCATATTACTGTACATGATAAAAAAAAAATGTACTACCAAAATCTTTAGGTTCCTTGTACAATAAGATTGTTCAAAAAATCTTCCATATGTGATAGGTTTAGTGTATCGCTTAGCAATAGCTAATTAGATTCTGATCAATCCATTCGTTTTACCTGTCTTTTATCAAATTTTCATTAACAGACTATCAAAATTAATGGAAGAAAAATCTGTAGTAGGATCTGCTGTAGAAATACATGCTAACCTACTTTTCTCCTACCAGGAATAGGAGGTACAGTGAGACTGAGAAAGTGGTGTCTACAAGATTTAAAATCCAAAGAAACCCTTGGGGGTGGCTGCAGCTCGAGGGTGATAGTCAAGGTTGAGTACGAGGTAATGGGCGACGTGGAGCATCCAGCAACGACAGAGGAACAGCTGAAGGAAGAGACTTTTGTGGTGAAGACTGTCCCCTCACAGGGAGTCATGGTGTAAGTTAGTCCAGTGCATACAGATTGAAACTATTTTGTATCGCCTTTTATCTCTACATACCATGCTTTTTTTTTTTTTTTTTTTTTTCCTGCTCTACATTCTCCGATTACTCAATGATGCTAAAAAGTTTATTCAGTGTAACTGCACAGTTGAACTGCTTCGTATATTTGTTCAGTGATTAAATTGGCAAGGCTGTCAAATATTTACTAGAATCTTCTACTTGTTTTACTTGGTTTCTAGACATTTTTCTAACACTTTTTTTTTTTTTTTTTTTTTTTTCTCTCCAGATACAATCCACCTATACATGTTCTTCCCACAATATTTTGAGAAATGCTAAGCCTTTTGTCAAGATTGTCAGGATTATTTCTACCTTTATTCTACAACAAAATTACTTATTTTATAGAATGCTATGGTTTATGTACCTATGCTATATTACGCGACATACTGTCTTGTAAAGCTTAGTTATACATTGCATTCTGAGCACCTGAAATAAATTATTCCTCTACTCTTCCATCTCCCTCACCTCGTTTTCTCATCTTGCTCCCAGTCATAGCTTAAATGATTAATTTCTTCCCATGTTCCCTGGCTAAATACGAAGTTTTGAACTTTTTTTTTTTTTTTATGCCTCTTTAATTTCTGCTCTTAAATCTGTATACACAGTGGGTTTATCCTTCTTAAGACTGATTGTCTACTTCCACTTCAACTTTTTTTTTTTTTTTTTTTCTCTTATCCTTGTGGCGATGAAATGTCAATGGGTTGAAAATCGATTATACTGTGATGTGTCAACGAAGTACACAACTAAAGGCCATCCTGGACATGAGACAAACCTTAAGTGTACACAGGACACTGCAGACAACTTCGTATCCCATAGTGAATGTAAACATGATTGTACGTCTGCTTATGTTTTTCGTAGACAGCCAGCATCTGCTGCTTCTGCGATCAGCAAGCCACGGCTGATGCTATTATGCCAGGTGAGGGTTTACCTGGAGAGTTCGGGGGTCAACGCCCCCGCGGCCCGGTCTGTGACCAGGCTCCTGGTGGATCAGCCTGATCAACCAGGCTGTTGCTGCACGCAAACCAACGTACGAGCCACAGCCCGGCTGATCAGGAACTGACTTTAGGTGCTTGTCCAGTGCCAGCTTGAAGACTGCCAGGGGTCTGTTGGTAATCCCCCTTATGTGTGCTGGGAGGCAGTTGAACAGTCTAGGGCCCCTGTCACTTATTGTATGGTCTCTTAACGTGCTAGTGACACCCCTGCTTTTCATTGGGGGTGGGAAAGTGCATCGTCTGCCAAGTCTTTTGCTTTCGTAGTGAGTAATTTTCGTTTGTAAGTTCGGTACTAGTCCCTCTAGGATTTTCCAGGTGTACATAATCATGTATCTCCCTCCTGCGTTCCAGGGTATACAGGTTTAGGAACCTCAAGCGCTCCCAGTAATTGAGGTTTTTATCTCCGTTATGCGCGCCGTGAAAGTTCTCTGTACATTTTCTAGGTTGGCAATTTCACCTGCCTTGAAAGGTGCTGTAGTGTAGAGCTGGTAATACTAGCATAACTCGGGCGTGGCAGTCAGTCTAGGAATGTTCTACGCGTCCTCCCTCACTTGTGAAAACCGCTGGGAGTTAGACTGCACAAACTGATGCAAGGTGAACGTATTGACAAACCTATCCTTATTAATAGATTAAAAAAAAAGACATGCGTCCAGACAACAAAGTAACAAGCAACTACTTTTACTAAATTTCTTCAACTTTAAATATTAAAGTATAGTAATCACTGGGCGACACTACTTTTCATAATACATTTGAAAGTATCTTTCATAATATCACATTTTCGCAAATTCCTCAGGAATAGAAACCTTAATTTCGGTCCCTCTTGGACCATTTATCGCTACACTTAATTGTTCAAAATACATTGTAACCTGGTTTTAAAGGTTTCCTTTCCTAGACATTTTCGAGTAGACTAGATGTTATGTTCTGGAAACTTATGAAATTCGTATTGTTATCGCTTATTAATCCGTCTAAGATGGCCTATTTGCACTAATTTAAATCCAACGTACACGGGGGAACCATGAGCATAAAAATATCGGGTCTACTCCCGTTTGCACAATGTCGGAGCTCCGTTTATCAACGGAAACCTACTTGATGGTCGATGAGAGGTAGAAAACGGGTACGTGTCGTTTTAAATTGAGAACTAGCATGACGTGGGGTATAAAGATAAGTGAGAAAGTAGGAGGAAAGGATAGAGGTAAAGAGGAAAACGTGGTCGTCGATAAAATGGAACTATAAATTGGAGAAGGAACAAAAGAATCAAATGTTTAAAGAGAAAATTCAGGTTAATTTTAATCTAGATGGATGAGGCTACTCAATAAGTTGTGGATGGTGGGGGAGAGGGGAAATATTACCTTTAACTAAATGACTGATACTGGAAACCAGGATGAGAATGTATGGATACAGGTGGAGGGAATATATAAGGTAGTACAGACTTGATAAGCCACTACAGAAGTACAGGTAAGATGTTTAGTAGGTGCAAGAGAAGACAGGAATCACTTCTCTGGAATACACCTAGATGACCCACAACGTTTACATCACTTGCAGGGATATGTTAACGTCTGAAGGGCTGCACCACAGCGAAGTGAACCAGTACGGGAAGTTCCTGCGGGTGCTGGTGACATGGGAGGCGGAGCGGCGGGGCGTGGACGTGGGTATGATGGCAGAGATAGTACCCTCACAACGTCTTGGCAGTCAGCGACGACCATTATTTCACTCTCGTTCTACCAGACCTCACACAACTTGGCTATCAGGCGAGTACATACACGGTGAAAGTCCAGGTGAAGTGCATTTTGTGCATTCTTCATTGACGCGATAGCTTTTAGCAACATGGTAATTTCCTTTACTCCTGTTCCTATTCCTCAGAAAAAGAGCTGATATTCCTGATTTTTTCCCTAATGATCAATTTATCAAAGTACCAATTTCCTATAAATTTCTTAAACTACAATCCTCGCGACAAGGCAGACTAAGGAAGTTAAAAATCGTCCCACAAGCCATTTTCAATTGTCACTTGTTAAAACTGTCTTTACGAACGATTTATTAGTTACTAATTCCATAAAAATGATGGGTTCATAATCACGCACCTTAAGAGGGGCTTTCATCCCCTCCATCGGAAAGCCTTCCAACATCTTTTGCAAACCACTTAAATCTCACCATGCTGAGGCAACCTGACAAGCGAAGCAAACCGGGGGGTAAACTAATCCAATGGTTGGTTAATTTGGTTTAGTTTCTTAACTATGATAAATTAAGGATGCATGAAACTTCTTTACCACTAACTACACTTTAATCCTAATAGTGCTATTACAGCAAGGAAGAAATGTACCAGTGTACCGCTAAAGAACACTTATTTCGTTATTATCGACAGGCTACTGAAGAGGGTTCTGTCAGGGCCAGAAGTTATGGTGACGGCACGAGCACTAGGCAGGTTCCATGGGACAGCAGTTGCATTCAAGATGGTTACGAAGACCAACCTGCAAGACTCGTTCCCCACACCTGCTTTCATGTAGCTCACGACCAAAGTGAGCTCTTCCACATTCTTCCATAAAGCAGGATTCGAACGGTGAATATCCACAAATGTTCATTTTATTTTTTTTAATGCTTTTAATGTTTTTTAGTCTACTTGTTGCTTTCTCCATCTTATTGCTCACCGCTTGTCAGATTGCAACTCTTCTAGTATTTGTGACAGATTATCCAAGACTAAAAATACTTTTCCATTAGACGGGAAACTTTTCAACTAACATTGTCGCATTACTAAATGGAGACCCTTTAAAACTGACAGTGCACGTTAATAAACTATTCCAGTCTAAAGTCGTGTCGATAGTTAATATTCCATGTACCTCAAAGGGCTTTGATATTGAACTTATTCCCCACACTTAATATTCGTTATTGTATTCATAAAGTGGAGATTTCTATGTATATAAAGCAATAATTACTATACGACTGAGAATAAAGTTTCAAACCCGCAGTTTAACACTACAGCCTGCACCAAGAGGGGGAAGGGCTGCCTGAGCGAGCGCCCTCCTATCCCTGCTGAAGCCCTACGAGACTCCGCCACAACCTTCGTCGTGCAAAACCTCCCCCCCAGAGAACCCTTCCCCACTCCATTCATGGAGCCCCCCAGCCAACCAACATCTTATTCAAGTACACTGCTGACGGAGACTGTACCATAAAGGTGGGGGGTAAGCACTTTCCTGATGGTATGGTTACATACTGACAGGATATTTTCTGGTCAAAATAGGATGTTACGCTGAGATAGTGTATTACGAATTTCGTCCAGATACGAAAGTAAGACTGTACCTCCCAGTAGACCTAGACTAGCCGCACTTCCATTTAGTTTTTTGATGCTGGTGAAGTTTCTTGACCTAAATGATTCTGTGGTCTACTTCTCTAAATACGCCTGAAAGATTTCGGCCCATCCTCCCCCCATCCCCTCCTTTCCTAAAGAGGCCCTGTATAATCAGTACGGGGTAGCGCTCCCCATAACTAGGGGCAAACAACTAACCTTGATTGCCACAAGATAACTTTGTCAGTTACACAAAAGTAAGTTAGAATACAAGTAACCATTTTAAACACCTCTTAACGATAGCAAAGACAATACTTAGAGGTAATTATTAAAATCCAAACTTCTTGTTTAACAACAAAGTATATGGAAGTCGCCCATGTAAAGGATTTTTAAATTGTAGTGAATCTGTCAAAGACCTCTTCAATATATGGGTTTATAATTGCAAAAAAAAGTATCTTTCACATCCTATTGGGAAAAATCCTCTTGTGCAACAAATTTAAAGGCTACCAAAAGTAGCCAGCAGGCACTTAAACTTTATGAAGTGGTCAAGCCACTTGCAATCTTACTCATCTCCACTTCATTGCACTCAACGTTTTAAACTGTTCTAGCAAACCCAAAAAAACACTACCTTCACTTGTCAGATGCATGGCTAACACAATGAACGCATAACGAGGACCCTGATTTTAGTTAAAACCCCAGTGCATCTATTATAACCTTGTTAACTTCACTGGATATGAAAACATTGTAACAGTAAAACAACTATAACAGTGTGACACAGCACCACAACTTTTAGCAATAAGAGGACTAGGGTGATGCAACTCTGCATCAACCACAGCACAGTTTTGGTTTTTGCTACCACCTTGAGATCGTGTACACAGTAAGAAACTTACTCTTATTTGCCCTTAATAGCTGATCGACTGGGCACAGGCGAGGTACAGCAAAGGAACCTATGACCTCGTTTACATGCTAAGTATCGGCGTGGAGCTGAGGTGCGCCGACAAGTATCGTCGCAGGCCAAGGAAGAATACTTCAAGGCGTTCAACGATACCTGAAAGACCCCGACGCTGGCCTTGCTTACCCCAGGTATTTTCTGCAAATTGTTAAACTTTAACGATTTTAGTGGGTTACTTTTACACCTAAAATTTGGATGTAGAGTAGAAAAAAATTCCCCGCACGGTGAAACAGGATTTGTTGAGTTTATAGTTTATAGACTAGACGGGTTGCAATAAAATTGAATGCACACTTCGAGGTCGTAAACTTTAATTTTTTAAATTTTTGCCATAGTGCAAACCAGACTAGTTCCGTGGTTTCTATGCTGAAGTGTTAAAACGACAAGTGTCTTGTACTAAAATTTTCAATCTGTTTAGCAACAATTATCTTAACCGTAGACAAAACTGACAACACATGCGCATTAGCAAAAATAATTAAGACGTCATACACATCAGTATCCGCGGATAAACTACAAATTTTCACTGCAAGCATTTGGAGTGCAGAAATAAACTTTAATTCATGAAACCCTCAACTTTTATGTTTTTTTGAAACAGACCGAAAGCCTCTTATCTCTAAATTTCTATCTTCAGCATCCTTAACATCCGACTGATGAAAGCTGATGTGCCAGCAAACGAGCTATTAAAATTTCAGTTGCTTGGGTCTTCATAAAGTACAGAATTATGACTCCTAATTAATGCTTAGCTGTGCAATTAAAAAATTAATAAAATTTTCTTTTGTTTGTAAATTTAAAGTTCTTTCAAAATTGACTAGGGCTGTGAGGATCAGTAAAAATGACCATCGTGGGTCTTTCACCTACTATAAACCCTGAAATATAGAAAATTTTGAGTCGACCTGCCAGGTCTTAATATTTTTTACTTGAATAGTAAAATTAACTTGTGTAGCATAAGAGATGCTAGTCTACTATGAAAAAGAAGTTTACTGTATTTGCACAAATTATCAGGTAACATGTGAAAATTGCTAGAATAACCCAAAATATTCAGACTGGTTTCCACACGGACTCAAAATAGTGTAGCTCGATTGCTAGCGCACTGGGATCATTCTGAAGTCCCGATTTTCCCAATCCCCGGGACGATGGGGAACATTTTCCATAACACATCCGCTGTCCATTTTCACCCATAAGCGAAATGGGTACCTGGGTGTTTAAACTGGTGTGGGTAGCATCCTAGGACAAAATTAATGTAATTAACCCAATACTCTGCATAACAAGGGCTATATATATTAAATTATGAAATGTGAGTTATATATAAATTTATCTACTTCACTAAGTGCAGGCCTTGCTAGGTCTTTCTTTACCTCCGTCATTTCCGGAAAAACATCTTGCTGGAGCATCGCAGAAGTCTGTAGTAAATCATGAAAATACAAAACCACGGAAAGCTAATTACTAAAGTTACAAATTAGCAAGACCTTTAAGATCGCCAACCAGTTAAAATAATTTCCCCTGTTAATGAACATTTCTACAAAACCACAAAGGAAAAAGGACCGATTAATAAACACAACGGTTACATCCACTAATGATCTCAACTTCACTATAACAATAGTGTTTATTATACTTACAGGAATGTGTTTGACGAAGACATGATGCTAAGCGAGCAGCTGAGTGTAGTATGGTGCGTGTCAAACATCAAACCTACTCTACTCCAGTACTAGGCTTCAGAGAAGGACTCTACTGCATCCTTAACGACAAACCTCTACAGCCTAGCATCAAGCCTCTGCATTACTTTCTCCCCGAATCCAGCTCTTCATCTTCCTCTTGAATGAAAGGCTCCACCCCTACACCAAATTTTTTACCTTCGTTTTCTTCAAAAAGCAAACTCCCCAGGTATTGCACAACTAAAAGTTTGTATGTGGAAGACTCGAAATATGAAATACTTTAAAGTTTTACGAAAATTATCAACTGTTTTAAACATATAGTGTGATTATGAAGTTTCTTAACAACAAACGGGCAAAAGTTAATTTTTCAATTTTTTTCCCTTTAAATGTTTTTACTTGATCTGAATCTTTTATATTTTCTGAGCAGTGCTTGGTTACTAGTAGCTCTGCTTTCCATCTTCCCTTGCACATTTATATATAAATTTCATAGGTCGTTTAGATTTATTGAATTTTACTTGAAAAAAAAGTAAATTTTCCACAGTTTATGGCACACATTAAGTTATGTTTATAAATTACATGAACTACATGGAATTTTATATGCATAAAACTAAGGGTATATGTAATAAAAAAGAAAGCATATTCAGATTTTAATTTCAGGGCCCTTAAGGCCCCCCAAAAAACA